TATAATAATTATTATTTTATTATAATTTATAAATTCAAATATCTATTATCAGTATTATCTATGCGTCCAGCAATGATAATAATCACAAAATATAATTTATGATAAGACCTCTGCCAGAAAGARAGGTAATGATAAAAATCTGTCTTTCTCTCTTCCCCATTCCGGCACACTTCCCTCTATTCGATTAATATAGCAATGGCCTATCCATTCTTTAATATCTATGATATACATCCGCCATCAGGGCATTCATGGACTTTTGAAATACCACGGATCACACTACCATGATCCTAGAAGAATATAATAATATATCCATGCCACGGACTACACTGAGATTATAATTGACGAACAATCTATCATCAGTAGACACGAATGTTCAAAAGACAAAACATTGTCGTGCGGAGGGTCGCAATGGGCACTGAGAGTTTATAACGCCATTTGAATGGCGTCATCTCTTAGAGTGAGATGTCAGATGATGATTAAAGCTAATACTTTAGATAAATATTATATAATAGCAGGCCTGTACAGAATAATTATTCTGTGATATTAGTATTTAAAGGTTTTATGACGTATCTTTAATTGTAAAATATGCAAAAGTGACGATAGATGAAATCACCGTTACCGCTGAAAAAATTCATTGGCCATTGTTAAGAGTTTGGGTGATCGTCCCCGACCCCCACTGACTATGTATATTGCCATTTCCTCTCACTGAACTATTTGGATTATTATTTAGTTCAATGTTTCCATTCAATTCAAAATTTCATTACACATTTATATCTTAGTCCGTGGTGGATAATATAAAGATTAAAGTCATGCATTTTGGACATACGTATTTTCTACGATTTTAAACGTGGCCACGTACGGCAGTACGGCACGAACCATTTCGATCGGTTTAAATGTTAAAAGTTAAAAATAAAATTTTTCAATTTTTGGTATCAGTGTAGTATACTAGCTGCACACTAGGACTAGCACGGTTTCAGCTGATAATGCTCGTGGTTACCATAAGTGGTTATATTAATCAGTGATGGTTACAAACACGGTAACAGATTTCCTTCCATTTCATCTATTACAATATTACAACTCAACGATCTATTCTGTGAGTTGTATCCGGCCGGTATCAGTCATTCAGTTTTCACTTTTTCAGTCATATATCTCCATTCACCGCAGTATCAGATAAAAAAATCTATGTATTGAGTGATGTGTTTAATTTGAATTCGTTGATTTTGACGTTTTGGTCGTAGAGTAACTAAACCCAGTCAACTTAATAGTTTTGTGTTCAATAAATCATATTTGTACTGTTTTTAAAGAGGTAATTTAAATATTTTCTGGTTTTACATATATTCAATCACTAGAGACTTACCATCTAGCCTCTACTATCTTATACATATATTTTTAACTGTGTTATACAATTAGGTATAATATTATGTTGGACATATCTTTAAGTAAAGCATATTTATTGTGCTGTGCAATATTAGTATTCATTCGATGGACAGAAAGTAAGTTTCTAATTAAGAACTGTGAATGTCCGTAATTATTAATTTCCGAACATTTTTAACTAATAGGTAAAAATGTGGAGTACGTAACTTGTGGAACTGTTGCAAAGTTGTACAATATTGACCTAAAAGTAAGGTTGCATTCACATGATGTTAAATATGGGGCAGGCAGTGGTCAGCAATCTGTAACCGGAACCGATTTATCAGAAGATATTAATTCACATTGGGAAATTAAAGCTCAAACTGGAAAACATTGTAAAAGAGGGTAAACTATTATTAATCTAAAAGTTTTTTGTTATAAATGTACTATTGTATTTAACATTTTAGTGAGCCTATTAAATGTGGAAGTATAATTAGATTCACCCATTTAACCACCAAAAAGAACCTTCATTCACATTTATTCAGTTCTCCTTTATCTGGTAACCAAGAAGTATCTGCATATGGTAATGACGGAGAAGGAGATACTGGTGACCACTGGTATGCAGATTGCAGTGGAGACTATTGGGAAAGAGATGATGATATTCGATTAAAACATGTAGATACTGGATCGTGAGTTAAAAAAAATTATAAATGTATAACTTATTTTTAATTCACGTTGGAGATTATAAATTGTACCTAAAAGAGATAACAACTTAATTGTTTCAAGTGAATAATATTGTCAAAGTTATCAATGATTTAAACAATACATTTTCAGATATTTAATGGCTTCAAGTTTATCATATGGTCGACCAATTAATGGACAAAAAGAGATTGCTGCCGTAAAAAACCCAGGACCATTTTCAACTCATTGGCGGGTCAAAGAAGGCATATTTATCCATAAAGACGAACCAAATGATTTTCATTCAGATTACCTACATACAGAACTATAATATTGTTCCATTTAAGTATTGAATTCTCAATTATTTTATAATTTTGTACATTCATTAAGTACTACACACTGTTTATAGCAGAAAACACAATTAAATATGGTTTCCTTAAAATCTAAAATAATTTATAATAACAAGGTTTATTGTGATTTATATTGTTTATTATTGTAAAAGTATTATGTAAAAAAATAATACATATATACTAAAATAATTTTCTTTAAAAAAATTTTCCAACCTTAATTTTAATTGTACATACACTTATGTTTAAAGTTAAAGGTGGATACTGATAACTAATTTTTCTATAATTGTGTTGATTCTTGTATTTTGTTTGTGTAATGTATACTAAATAAACTTAATTTAGATGTTTGAGTAGATATAAATAACAATTTTCAAGAATTGAATTAAAAAAAAATATATAGTAATAATAAAAATATGAACTTAATATTAAAAACAATTTTATAAATATATAAACTCAAATCTTATTTTAACACTCCACCTTCAATTAAAATTATATACATTATGATTACTATTATGAGTTTATTCACTTACTGATTATTAGTAACTTAAAATTATTTTTTCATAAATTATTGACAGTTTACTTGTAGTATAAAATACATGTTTTGTTTGTTTATTCAGTCAATTTTTAGATTTTCAATTTAATATTGATTTTAATTAATATTTCCATGAAGAGATAAATTTTGATTTTAATATATTGTTTTAATGGCAGTTAATAAACTTCAATTTAAAAATTTTACATTTTGATTCCTTTAATATGAAAAATAAAATAAAACCACAGTTAAATAATTTATAATTTACCAATTTTAATTTAATCTGTTTCTTCATCAGCAATCTGAAAAATATAATAAATGTTCTCCAATTAAATTAGAAGTATTTTACATTACTTGTTCAATATAAGCATGTTATTAATTGTACATTAAAATTTACTTTTAAATCTAAATATATAGGGTACCATTAAATGTGATAAATTATATTTATACTGTTTTATATTTACACGGATAACATTTTATGCATCAGACAATAAGCCCCCATTTACAATGTAAGCTATCCAGTAAGAGCACACTTAATGTCCCAATAAAAATCAGTTCTTATTCACATCCCCGTGTGAGACAACTGGTTTTAATGACAAGATGTCAAGTAAAGGATGTACAGTATCAGTGTGTACTCTTGTTAGACAGTATGGTATGATTGAAAATAGAAAAGGTGTTGTGTCCCATTTAAAAATTCACAAAATAGCAAATTGGTGTACATGAGAATTAATTTGCTGTCATTATTTTTAATTTAAAGTTTAACTAATTACCAAATGTAATGATAAAAATATTATCTAGTACACATTATAAGTTTAGTTTATTTAATATTTTAAAGAGAATTCTTAGAATTTGAAAATTATAGTATTGGATATAGCTTTAAGTTATAATTAATGACTCATTTAAATATTAAAATATCAAAAATAACAAATCAAGGGTTCTAGATAATATTCATACCTAAAATATGATCACAGATCAATTCATTATGTACTGTACAAATACAATACATTTTTAAGACAGGCAATGCTGGTGATCCAATCCTTTAATATAGTAGGAAGTAATAAACACATAAGTGTCATGAATATCCAAATACCAACTACAAAGTAAACTCTGTCCAGCAAGAAAATATACCTATTATGTGCAGCTACAGCTGTGACCATGAAATCAAGACCTTTAATCAGCAAAGAAATGAATTTTTTTGGGCTGCTGCATATTATTCTCTCACTGAACAGAGAATAGGGATAAAATTAATGAAGTAGKAGATGTAGAAGAAGAGCTATGATTGTAAAAATGAATAATGTATTGTATTTAATTGTAATTAATATTGTATTTCACATAAAGGATATGAGAACAGGAGTAAAAATCATTTTTGACATATTCAAACACTATTTGGTTATTCTTGTATAGATATAAACAAACGAGGACATGCAACTGGCCAAAGAAATCATTTTCTAAAATTATCCTAATTAATTTTAATAATATAAAGTGGTGCTCAAAGATTAAGAAAAGAGTACAGAGTAAGATGGAAACAAAGATATTTAATGAAGTTGACATTATATATTGGATACTTAGATAATAAAAGTAGAATAAATACATTTTAAACGTATAACTTAAATTTTTCAAATTCTGAAATTTTAACAGCGTGGCATAACTAGGGATAGTCTAAAACCACTTTTAACAGTTTTAACCGATATCTGAAATTTCCGATAAGTGCAACCAATAATTATTATATTTTAAAAACAAAATTTTTGACAAAAACCAATTAAGATAGCCAAATACCACCAAAGCTAATTTAGTTCTGCCACCAGCCTTATCTATAAATCTATACATCTATGATATCAGTATATTCCTAGAAGCTATTGTTGTTGTCAGCTGTAATATTATGATACTGTGGTTTCAACTTATTGATATGTGAAAGACCAGACAATTTTACATTGAAATTACTTTTGAAATAGTGAGGATATGCAGCCTAAATTTAAGCAATTTTAGTTATTTATTATTCAAGAAGGCAATGGGCCCCACTGAACAGTTGTGTTCATATTTATAGTTTAATAGTTATTTATTTTATTTTATACAATAATAATAAATATAGTATGCTTAGTAGTAAGTTCAAATTAGATCATTTAACTTTTTCTAAGGATAAATGTCCACTGTGAATTATTTTAAGTGCGAGCAACAGCAACTAGACAAAAAAATTGTTATTAAAAAAAGGTTAGACATAGAAATAATTGAAACATATTTAATTAAAAACTAAACATAGTATGTAAATTATATGAAATAAATTGTTTCTAATGAAAATCATTAGCAGTTCTTAAATTACATTTTTTGATTAAGTAAATGTGATAACTATGCCTTAAAAAGAATTAGGCACATTACATTACAAAATCACCAAAACATTAAATCAAATAACAGAAATTTTAATGAATTCCAACTAGATAGTTATATTACATCCATCATACATATTACTACATCTTTATATTTTCAAGGACCAAAAACCAACCAACATGGGCGTCCCCAGGGGGCATGACGGGGCACTTGCAACCCCCCCTACAATTTTAAATTTGTTTTCCAAAGCATTATCTGTAACGTGCCAATTTAGTAAACACTAAACATAAAAACTTTTAAAATGTAAGCATAAAATGTATAAAAAAATCTTCATCTATTTTAAAAAATCAATTTTGCCCCTCCCTATCTAAACGTCTAGGGATGCCTATGCCAACCAAGGCAGATAATCATGTAGTTTATGTAGAAATGTTAAAAAATCTTGAAAATAAAATGCACTCGGAAGAATTTCCCAAGAAAAATTTGATAGATTAATAATTTTGTGTATTTTAACATTGATATGCTAAAAATAAAATAAATATTAATTATAATTTTAAAAAGATATGTTTTGGCGATTTATTGATAAAAAGTTAGGAAAATCTGATTTGTTTCCAGCCAAACATTACACCTAATATTCTATCAATTTTCTATTTTTCTACAAGCTTTTATTAATGTCTCCTGGTCCCTAACTAATCTTCGCCTAGTACTGTTCTTGTTCTATCTGTTCTTAATTTAACATGTGCCAAGATAAGATTTTTAAACTCAATTTATTTTATAAATAAAATATACAATATGAACAATTTTCCAAGTTTTTCGATTACCTCAAAAATAATAGTGAATCAATTCTATGTACATAAAAAGAACAAGACAGTAAAACAACAATAAAAAACATCTGAAATTTTGTAAATTTATTTCTTAAGACAAATTGCTCTTTATGGAACAGAACGTGGCCTTTGGGAAAAACCGAGGAACAAAGGATGTACGAGAGAAAAATACTTAGGAAAACTTATAGGGCATATTTTAAATCTCATACAAATAGATGGAGGAAACTTTACAACATTGAACTGGCATCCATTTTTCAGCAACCAAATATAATAAGAGATAAAAAAAGAATATTTTTAGCATGACACACCAGGAAGAAGCATGATTTTCTGATAAGGAAAGTAAAAGAGGAAAACCTAGTTGGGAGGAGACCACATTAATATGAGAAGATAGCGTTAAGAAGGATACTGGAATGGAGAAACCAAATAATCATTACCGGGAATCAGCAGAAGATCATAAGATCAGTATGTTTATTTAGCGGTATGGTATTGATTGGCTGAAACCAAGTTAGAAGAAGAATTTCTTTTAGCATAATTTGTTTTTAAAATATTTTATAATATATAATAATATTTTATAATATTTTTATATAATATTTTTACTAGAAATGTATGGCTAGGAATTATCACAAAAGAATTAAATAAATATTTAAAACAAAAGGAATGGTTAAACAACAGTTATAAATAAAAAAAATAATATATATTAAAAGTTATTTCAATATTAACTATAAACTTTCTTTGTTGAAAAAAAATAACATAGAGTAATGAAAATATAAAAATATAATTATTACAAAACAAAAAAAACATAATCGATTATGGCAAGGTATAAGTTTTAAATAAAATATAAAAACATGWATAGGGATATTTTTTAAAATGTGCAATATGTTATTAATTATTATTGTAGTTACATTCCTTGATAGAGGTTATAATTAATATTGTGTTATAATATGATTGATGATTTTTGTGATATTATGATTGAATTAAAAGCGAAAATTAGACCTTAAATGTACCTTATTTAAATACTTGAATGCAAAGGTCGCACAAACCCCAAGACCAAATACAAACAAATATGGCAGAAATTTGAAATTAATGCTTGGTTTCTTCTTCATCAAAAAAGATATCATGCTTAGTTTCTTATCAGAGTATGGTGGATATTTTGCTCTAAATTGTAAAAATTTGTTAGGATTAATAACATAAAAAAAGTTAAACAATAATATTATGGGCTACTAACGAAGAAAATGATTCTCCAATGATGTTGAAATCTTTGACTAAACAACTTTTCCGATGAGTAAATGTATCAAATGTATGTTTTCCATGGTAGGCTCCCATTCCACTAAGACCGACTCCTCCAAATGGTAAATTTTCAACTAAACAAATAATTATTATTTTATCAATAATCTCATATTATTTTTCTAATAGATTAGTAAAACATAAAAAAGTATTATTAATTTTATTGACCATAATTATTTAAATTAAATAAATACTCCAATAAGAAAAGATTGTTACAAAACATAAAAGTAATTTGAATTTAAATAGCATTATGATACTTGCTGTGTACAAGAAATAATATATCTATTTCTTATTAAAAAAGCTTGTTAGTTTTTATGTAACTAGGTGAGTATTATAGTATTAAGTGTGATAAGCGTATGTTACCCAAACACAGTGTCACAGTGATATATATATATACCTAACCATTTTTAACTATGAACTATAACGTAATTCTTTTATGGTGATTGAAAAACTAAAATACAAAACCTGTGAACAAAATATAAATAGTATAAATTCACAATTTTAAATATAAAATCTTTAACAGAGAAAGCAAATAATAAATATTGTTTTAATTAGTATTAAATCTGAATTTTGTTCAGACATAAAGTTATTTTAAGTTGACTTATAATGTTAAAGGTCTTAGGAGTAGATTAATTTTCATGCCTAACTCACATCTTACAACCCAACCAGAGTGTACTTCCAAAACGGTAAGTTTTTATTATCATGGGTCATATAACTCTATAATAGTATTATAGTAAAAATATTAGTGTAAAAGTACAATGATAAAAAAGTACCATTTACAGTTCATACATTTACTGGATATAAATTCTTTTAAAATCAATTGTTAAAATATAAATATACCCATTCAGTAAATTAATTGAAAATTTTTTTTCTTTATAAAATTAAAAATAGATTATGGTAAATGTTTAAATAAAAAATTATAAGCTTATAGTTTTTAATATGTTAAGAAATGTAGTCATAGCACATATGAAACAGGCAAAGAAAATCAATCTATACTATATACTTCATCTCTATTATTAAAAAAAAAAATAACTACAATATTGTAATTCAACTTTGATATTTTTATTAAATAATATATTTATGAATTTATCTTATTTTTAATAATTCAATAAAACACACATATTGAACTGTATTTAAACATAAACACATACTACAGCACACATGAAAATCAATTACTTACCAGTCACGTGCACTACAGTATCATTGACACAAACTCCACCAGCTTTCACATTTTCCAACATATTGTCAATGACTGCTTTATTTTTGGTAAATACGTATAAAGCCAACGGGCTGTGATTTCTGTACAAATTTAGTAATAACCGTCACCATAAATTTAATTTAGTTATATGTCAGTCTCAAAAATGTTAGTCCAGAAACCAAAATATTATTTTGAGACAAGATATTTTAGAACTATTGAGTTTCTATTCTAATTATTATAATTAAAGTAACATACGCCATACAATAAGAACACAAAATTATATTGTACTATATTATACAGTTTGCAAGTTATAGTTGTTAATTGTATTAATATTGCATAGATTGGATATCTAGGATTAACTTGTGAATATTCCAATGATTATAATATGATTATTTGGAAACATAACAACCAGAATTAAATACCATAATTCTATGTACACAAGCAATATTATAAAAAGAACAGTTAAAGAATAAATGGTAAGAAAGAATTGTTAGAAAAAACATGAGATTTTCTGGCTATTGTTGATTATTACCGGCATAATGACTAACGGTGTCATTTACACAAAATGATCCACTAGAAGTTTGTCTCATAAATAAATTCTGCATTTCTTGGTCGGAAGAGAATACATATAATGTTAATGGTTTACTCCTGAAGGATAAAACATAAATATTTATTAAAATTATATATTTAAATAACATTTAGTCATCTGCTATCAGTATTCTATGTAAACAAAATTCAAAAAGAATCCATTTAAATAATTCATAATTCAAAAAAATAACAATATAATATATTTATATGATTTTATTTTGATTCAGCACTAATTAAAGGATAAACTTACAAAATAAATTATTATAATTAAATATGTATAAATTTAAAAATTGTCTGTCCATTTAATTTTAAAATGAGTAAAATGTATTATCCATTCTTTGAGTTATAAATTCCTTTTTAAGCTAAATTAAGAAATATCACTTTTTGGGTATTCAAGATGATTTTTTAAGCATCCTGACMCTATTTTTATGATTTAATTTTATATATATTCAATTTCTATATAGGGGATTTTTAAATACACTTTGAGACCATATTTTTTGAACTTTGAGATTTTTTCTATCACTTAAGGATTAGCCTGTGACAATACAAAATTATACTTTTCAAATAGGGACCTTCTCCTTTTTCATTTTTAATAATTAAGCAGATATTTTTGTTGTTGAGCATTAATGTATTATTACATATTATAGAATCTATTTAATTTTGAGTATTCAAGAAGTCATATTAAGTTATAGAAATTCAATATACAAGCGATATGTACCAACCTGTATCAGGTTTAGACTTTCATACGATTTGGTAAGTAACTATTCTCAGTCGATACGTATAAAATTCTTCTTCTTGAAAATTTTGAATAATTCATTAAATATAAAAGATCATAATATTTTGTTAGTATGTTTTGGCGCTAACTTGTATCTTTCTTAATAAAATTAATTCAAACACTTAATAGGATTTTAAAATAAAAACCTAATATAGGTACATAATTTTAAACAACTTTGAACTATAATAATACAATATTTGTTGATGATATGTTTGATTATTAAAATCTACAAGTTGAATAAAATATTAAGTAGAAAGGTAGGTACTTGAATTTTCTATTCTTAAATATAATTACTGTTTAAAATTATTTGGTTTGATTTTTAACATTATACATAAAACTCAAGTCTAAATTGTCTGTGTGTAATAAACCAATAAATTAATGTACAGTTAATAAATCAATTAGTACAAAAATTTGAAAAATGTAATAATATTGAATTACCAAATAAAATTGTATTATTTTACCTGCTATTAATATAGTTGATAGCATCATAAGCATTATCCACGATTACAATTGGTAAAATCGGGCCAAAAATTTCTTCTTTCATAATTGGATCTGTAGGTTTTACATCAGTCAATATTGTTGGTTCAATATAGAGATCTTTTTTATCATGTCTTCCACCAACTGAGATTGATCCGCTATTAGTCATCAAGTCTAATAATCTCCTATTGATAAAAATAAATTTTATATTTCCAAGAATCTTTGAATAGGTATACATTAAATGTACTCACGTAAAATGTTTTTCAGATACTATTCTGCATAAATCTGGGGAATTTTTTGGATCGTCAGTATACCAGGCTTTTAATAATTGTTTAGCTTTCTCCACAAATGTATTTTGAATTTGACGTGTACATAAAATATAGTCTGGTGCAATACATGTTTGTCCAGCATTAATGCATTTTCCCCAAATTATACGTTTAACAGCAATATCCATATTAACAGTACCATCTATATATAGAGGGCTGTAAAAGAAATTATAAATATCATAATCAATACACAATCATAAAATAAATCTGTAGAGTAATAAAATATTAAGTTACCTTTTACCGCCTAATTCCAACGTAACAGGTGTCAAGTATTCATTAGCAGCAGCTCTTACTATTTTCCCTACAGATGTTGATCCTGTATAGAAAATATAATCAAATCTTTGTTTAAGTAACTCAGTTGTTTCTTCTACACCTCCTAAAATAACCGGAAAAGCATCCTGTAAAATATTAAAATTATGTAAAAATAATTGGATGAGTAAAAAATTAATGTTCTTTACTCTGTTGAGATATTTTGGTACTAGTTCAGCAATGAGTTTAGCAGTAGCTGGAGCTATTTCAGAAGGCTTTATAACAACACTATTTCCAGCAGCTATTGCACCAACTACGGGTAATAAAGTTAATTGTAATGGGTAATTCCAAGCTCCCATTACCAATACAACTCCATATGGATCTTTATGTATTAACACATCATCCAATATATTAATCAGTGGTTTATCAGGCTAAACAAAATATATTACAAATGTTAACAGTTCTTATAAAAATAATTGGTTACTGAGTATGTTTTAGTATTGTACACACCCTTTCAGTTTTCATCCAGGATTCTAGGGAGTTAAGAGCATTGATGATATCATTTTTTAAATATTCAATTTCAAACAATACTGCTTCTTGCTTGCTCTGTTCAAACATTAATTTTGAATAAGGCTTTTTTTTTAATACGTAATATTAATTAACAGTAATTTGGATAACCTTTCTTAGATCAGAAGCTAGGGCTATTTGTAAGTCTGAAGAATTTTCCTTTAAAAGTTTGAGAAGTTGCCTAAGGTGATGTTTTCTAAGATGTAACGATTTTGTTTGGTTACTGTTGAAAGCTGTTCTAGCTTTCTCTACAATCTATATAAAAATTGATTATTTTTGTTCATTTGACCAATGAATACAACTAAATACTTTTAAAAAATAAAAAATACATACATCTGCATAGTTGGCCATAGTTTCGTTAGTTACTGTACCTGTAAAAATCCATAAAATTACAATAGTATTAGCATTTACAATTATTATTAACGCAACAAGGACATTATTATTCAACAATAGTGATTTCTATTTTAAATAAGTACATGATATATGTTGCAGCTAACACAGTCAATATCTATGTAATATCTACATCCTACATGATAACATATCAATAGGTCGGTAAAAAATTTATAACAATGTATTATATTATATTTTACCAAGCTATTCACTATTCGGTGAAAGAAAACATTGTTAGTTAGCCTATGTAAGGTATTACTTTTTACTAATAACAATCCTATTTTTATTTTCCAATACGAATGACACAAATACACAATTGAGATTATAGATCTAAAACATTAGTATTATATAAGAGTAGGTATTTATTAATATGTATTATAATTTATAGGTACTATTATACATTACAATGGATCATGATTTTATGAATTGACGTACCTAATAGAAAGTGAATTTCGTTTTAGTTTATTAAGTTACGTCGGCACGTCGCTGTTGCCTTTTACTGCATCGTTTGTGAACATGTTGTCTACTTGCGTTTGGTTTATCTAATACGTATTGGTAACTCGTTACCTAAAATTGATCTACCTTTAGCTCAAAACAAGTCACGGTAGGTTATCTGTTTTCTTTAGTCCCTATCTTAGATCATACACCAGATAAGGATTAGGGAATAGGGACCTTCCCTATAGACTACAAAATAAGACATATATTATGTATTATAGTAGGAGATAATCTTAATATTGGATTCCATCAGAGATTTTCGTATTTAAAGAAGAACAAACATCGATGACATCACAGATACATCGGAATCAATAAAATAAACTACAAAGATTCATGATTGTAAATTTGTAAATACCTACCATACCACCATAGTGGAAACCGGGCTTAAAAATAAAAATATTACACATAAATTATAATATACATACACAGTATCAGTGTAAACTATGAATGATAGTAGTATAAACCGATTTAAATATTGAAAATATCGCACGAGTATTGATTAAAAATGTAATAATCAACTATAGGTACTTACTACTTAGCTAACGAGCAGTGAGCACTGAGCACACGGCTAGACAACGACTATACGAGAACAGAGTATAATATATTATTATTGTGTGCGAAGTAGGCGATAAAGAAATTCCTGATGGCCAGTTTATAACAATAATACCATAGATAATTATACAGTTACCTTTAGTAAGCTAAATAATATTTAATTGGTGTGTTACATGAAACGTGCAACCGTGTAGGCAAATTTTAGGTGACAAATAGATAGCTAAAGTATTAAAATAAACGTGAAGCCATCGAGGACGACCGTAACAAACTATATAGCAATGTAATAGTGCTACTATGAAGTGGTTTGAAACCGTCAATGGGGGTCAATAGAGCGAATGTAAAACAAAATGTTTAAAATATAATATATTTGTGTGTGTTATGTGTATAATATGGTATATCAGCTACAGCCGGTGGCTCATATTATAAATTTATAACTAAATATTATCGCATTATTATTATTAACTGCAGTATAGCCAGTATATATAGAGTGATTCACCAAGCATACTCACTCACATTTTTTTCTTTAATAATTAATTTTACCATATTCAGAGTTTTGGAATTTTGAAGTTCCTATCAAGGTTAGAAAATTGTAATAAATTCACCTTGGTATACCTATATTTGACAAGCATATTTTCAAAAATTTAAATTTCTATCACCATAATTTAAGTATAGCACTATATAGCGTACTGTGGAAATCGTGGAATATCGTCTGTTTTCAAATTAGAATCGCTCATTTTTCTTTTAATGTAGTAAAATATATTAAAAATTACACAGGACTATAGTAGCCACTAGGTAGTAAGTACTCACATTGTATACTATTACGGTATTATAATAATGTTCTAACTCTTAACGACTACCTATAATAATAGTACGAATTTAAAATAATATTATCTATGCACTTATTGTACGCACTAAACATCTACTTAGACTTGGTTTTTAGTAGAAAGTTGTTTTAATTGTATAAATTATACACATTTATGCCAATTTAAATTTGCCTTTAACTTTATACACTCTATTATAGTAATAAATCTATACTACCGTTACTGTAAATTTTATACATATGACTCCTCAACTAGATCCAATATGCCAGAAATCACATTCAAAATCGAAGCATTTTTATTGTTCCAAAAGTTAATAACCTTAGTGTCAGACACAAAAATAAATAAATAAATAACATACTACTTTTATCCCTTAGATAATCGTAGAAACTAGATATAATTTTCTATAGGGGATATCGCACCATTAATATTGAAGATCGAAGCATTATTCTACTAAAAAGTGAATTCAGAATCAAATGACATCAACGGATACGAATTAATTTGTTGCTCGACTTAAATTCTAAAACAAATAGCCAATAGGTAGGTATAGAAAAATATTATGACGATTATAAATGGTTGTAATTAAAATAACGAACGTAATGCTAATATAATCTAACTTACTCTGCATACCTGTTCACCATGAGAGAAGACATAATATACCTATAGCCATTAGCCATATTGGCATTTGCACCTATATAAGAGTATATACGCCATTTGAATATATATAATGTGTACTTGTATAATAAAAATATATTTCCGAGTAATGAATATCATTACCTACGTCATATACTATGGCATAAACATTTTTATATTATATACCAAAGTTTTATTATTATTATATTAACCAAAGATTTAGGGCATAGATAAATTAGCAAGAGTTATTATGCGCCATTTGGAGAATGGATTTGCCCCATCATTGATTCAGGGTGGATTGGGAAGTATATATAGCCCAATATATTATAGATTAACAAACTACCGAATCCCATCTTGATTTTAAAAATATCTTATATAGTTAAATAGTTATATGTTAATACTTTTATAGTCGTATATTCTAGCTGTAGGATCTCTGAAAAAAAAAAATACTAAATACTTTATCCAAATCCAAAATATTAGTTGTTATGCAATGTAGATTAGTACAATATAAAATAATACTAACAGGTTTAATGAACAATATAAAACTTATTTATATTCATAAACAATTAGATAGCTTTTTGTAAGAACTAAATAATTATAAAATAATATTATAGAATATCCTATTAATATAAACTTAAATGTATCTATAAATGGTATAAAATAAACAAGGCAACAGTAGCATATTTTAAGGAGAACATTTTATCACATAGCATTGCTATTATATCAATTTATAATCACTGAATAATAAAAAAAATGAATGATGGATGCATATATAAACTTGTAATTTAAATATTTATATTTAAAGTCATTAATGTATGTATGTCTGTAATCTGTATCGCCAATAATACTATAGTTTTGTATATTTTGTGTTTTTTTTTGTGTCTTGGTATTTAAGAAGTTATTGAATATTAGTTTTGCTACGACAAATAGCACTGTAATATATAGGTAGGTACCTACTATGTTGTTTTCACAGTTTAACCACGTGAATATTGAGCCGATAGAGATTTTGACCTCTTTAAAAAAAAGCGTCTCCTCAAATGATCCTTAGATCCGCTATTGCCATAGGAAATATTAAAATATGTTTGTTTATTTATTTTCATATAGTCAATGGGTAAATTTAGTATTTCACAATATTATTTTTATATTTATATTTCTTTTGTCCGCATTAGCCCCTACTTTTTTTAAACATTAAGCAGTGTTATGGTATAATTTGTATTCTAATATGGTGTAGATTTTGTTTTTTAGTGTAACTCTAAAAAAAATAACCGCGCGTGGCGCGCTTATATTATATAGGTATAGATGACAATTTCACTGAATGTTTATATAAGCAATTTCTATGTAATACAATGCAACATAACATTTTCTAAATTTTCCGACTTATGTTGAACTGGGCATACGAAATTTTCGATTATTTTAAGTTTTTAATAATAATAATTATTGATATAAAATTTATTTTGGTCTAGCAAACACTAGAAAATATTATACTTATACAACGTTCCTCATATAAGAAGTTTTCTGTGGAAGTTAAATACATTGAATATTCACCTGTAAATTAATAAATTCTCATAAAACGTTTATCTTATTTTGTTCCTAATCAGAAACTATTAACTGTTGGAACTTAGCATTACTATTAAATGTTTATTTAATCATTTTCCTTACATGATAAAATTTTCAAAATATTTTTACTCTTTTTAAGATATTTATAGACATTTAAGATTTTCAATTGTTTTAGTTTTATTTTTTTTTTAAATTAAGCTTCGACAATTGAGTCCATTAGCTGTAGGTTGGTTGATTGGTACTGTTGGATTTTTGGGATTGTAGGTGTTGGAACACTTGTGTGGGCCAAGTGTTGATGGCGGAGTTTTAGTTTTTTGGCTATAGCCCATTTGCACCCCGGGGGATGTGAACAGATGCGCTCGAAAGATTTTAAAATAAATATATTAATTAATTTTATAGGCTGAAAGATCTTTGCTCAAGATCGTTTTTTCGTGTACAATGATTTTAAATTATTGAATGCAAATTTAACAGATCCATTAAGATGACTACACTATACYCACATGACAGATTGTGTTGTCTCCTTCTCACAAATGTACAACATGGCAAAAACTATTTTACGTGGGATAGAACCACTCTCAGGCTGTAGTCATAACTAAGAAACAAAATTTTCACACTATAAAAAAAACGAACATTTACTGTGCTACATCGTTTTTATTTTTATTGATGTCACAAATACAAAAAAAGTTATTCAAGTTTGAAATAATGATTTTTTTAACAATAACWTTTTTTTTTGTATTTGGGATACCGAAAAATAAATATGATGTTTCACAGTAAATGTTCTCCTTTTTAGTGTGTAAAAATTTCGTTTCTTAATTATAACTACAGCCTGAGTGGTTCTATCCCACGTAAAATAGTTTTTGCTAATACATTTTGATATACCTACGTTTGTAAAACGGAAACACGTGCGGGTATAGCGTTCTCCTAAATGACTCCCTAGATACCTGCTATAATGTACAGGAGAGAATTACCCATTTCCCGTTTTATTTTTTGTTTTGCCGTGATAGTCTTTAAACAGGATATAATTCATTTTATTGACATTGCGTAGACAGAAGTTGGATTATAATTTATTTGTTTAAAATTTTAAGCCATTTATTATTAACAAGATCTATAATGTTTTTTTTTTTTTTATTATTAGGAAAGAGCCCTCGGCAGCATAGGCCATTGGGCTTACAAAATATGAATAGCTTAAATTAAATATTTACAGTAAGAAAYRTAMAMGAGAGAACTTAATTCTAGATTTTGGATTGAAGGTTTGCTGTTGTGATGAATTGGCTATAATGGTTTATTGACGTGTCTACTGTGTATTAGTATTGTGTCACTACTCGTATATACATAATTAATGATATAATTAATTATGTATAATTTATCACCACTGTATTATTTATTATAATGAGTTTGAACTTAAAGTTTAAAAAAATGATTTCTGATATCTTATGTTATTTATAATTATTTAGATACTAACAATCTTACTCTTACAAGACGAGTAATATATTTTACATAGGTACATTGTATTTTATTGTTTGCACTTCAAATTTTAAGAAAAAATTTAAAATGTTTTTGAGTATAGAAGGTGAGTGCAYGATAAGTTTAATCAAACACCTTTAAATATTGAAAATCGATCTTGAATAGTATTAAGGTAATAAGGTCACTTTTTAAATTGTATGCAAATGTAAAAAAAAAACTGCCGACAACAGGCTATTGTCAAACATTTTTAAAGATATATGCAGTTTATAAGCAAATATAGTTTTAGAAATGTCAATTGCTTATTCGTTAAACATTTTAATTGAAAATGTGATGATTTATCACTGTTTTCAAATTAATAATGTAATGTAACCTCGATGAGTAATCATGTGATTTCTGTATTTCATCAGATTTTTATTTTTGAACCATTTTTTTAATTTCTTATTCTGTAGCAGAACTTTTTCGAAACATCACTATTTCTGAATTCACTCAAATATTATTTAAATTGCAATAAAGTATCTTTTAAATAATAAACATAAATACTAAGCTAAAAATGTAAGCATATATTTTTATATGAAATGCTAATGMATAAAGGAACGTAATACAATTTCATTTGTCATCCACTATAAAATATTTACAATAATAGCAGATTAAAGTTCCTACCATAGGCGTGTCCACGGGTCATGCCTGTCATGCAAATTTGATCAAATTTACATAGTACATTTTGATGCATAATATGAACTTTTTTTCTCAATTACTATTTTCCTATTACATTTTTTGTTTTTCATCATGTATATAATTCAAATCCTCAAACCCTAACAGAAATTTGTATTTTTATTTTTTTAGGGGGTGGGGAGGATTGGCAGTTTCCCCATCCCCTGGATATGCCACTGTTGTGCATGACCTGCAAATGAGGTCTGGACACGCCTATGGTTCCTACATTATATAATTTGTTATAAATTTTTATAATACATAGTATTAAGCAGGCAGAGGCCTCTTTAATGTATTATATTGATTGTACTACTAAAATACTTCAATAATTTAACAATATATAGTTATACTTTTTCATGTAAACATTTCATTATTAGTAGATTTCCTTCTCCGATCAACATGAAGGCCATAGCGGTTAAACATTTGTTTATAATTTACAAATGAAAAAAGGAGAAATCATTGACACGGTTATCTAGGTTAATTGGTATGACTCCTATATATACTATATRTAATATAATATAATGTGTATACATTTCAAAAGGTTCTTTTTTAATAAACCACATCACGGGAATTCCGGAAGTATGATGTACAACAATAATTAATCAAGAAGAACAATATCCATGATGTATTATTACACGAATTATGACATATTATTCAATCATTATATCATTGTAGGATATTTATGTTTTTTGAAATTTAAACATAAGCAATTATTTAAAATCGGAACTTTATTTGTATACTTACAATCATACGAATATACAATATATGTGTATTGTGTACCTATATGTATTGAACTTTTCAAATTAACTGAAAATAAAAGTTATAGCTATCCTTGGATAATTGTACGTCAATATTTTTAGGTGAAATATTATAATAGTGTTATGTTGTAATAATGGTAAGGTATATTTGTGTCAATTTCAATTATTGATATATATATAGGGCTTCAATAAAAAAAATACATGTACCACTAAGTTACAAATCAATGTAATAGTTTAATTAAGCCGGTACCTACATACTATATAGGGAACCTATACAAAAAAAATATTCTGAACACAAAATGTCCTGAAGTAGCACTTATTAGTTATTTTAGGTAAATATTTTTTACCTCAACTATTAAGATGAATTAATAGATTAATAGATAACCAATATAAGAGTTCTAATAAAATATAGTGGTATTGACTAAATAATTATTTAAAGGGAAAACTATGCTGAGATTGTACATATGAATTTTGTTTAAATACCTATAATTAGGCATCTATATTTAAGGAGTCATAAATCTATAAAAACACTATAGCTTATTTTCTATTATATAAACAATAAAATATACATACCACGCGTAGAATTATTCGTCGGTACAGATAGAGGATATTCGTGAGTGAATTTATTAGACACAATACCTAGAAAAAATAAATAATATTAAAACACTACAGGTACACGAATTTTAAATAGTTCATATATGTATAAGGCACGTAAGAAGTCTGACGACGGATTGAACATTTGTATATTTGTTTGTGTACCTTGGTTGTTGAAGTTTTTACTCAAATAATAAATAGGATATAGTAACATGCTAGGAATAAAAACCGGCTGATCCCACTATTCACTTACAGGTTAGGTCACTGTTTGCCTTGGAGCATGCGCGCAAATGACTTGGTATCTTATGTTTATGTAAAGATTCAAGGGCAATTTTACCATTTAATAATAAGACACCAGATACATCTTAGGTTGTTTGCAACGAGTTTATATTATATGTACAAAAAATATAGTAAATAATTACAATATAAATTATTTACAATTGAAGGACATATTGGACAATTATATTTAAATTTTCAAAATCTCAATCTAAATAACTGTTTTATGATCACTATTTTCATTTTAAGTAAATTTTATTCAACTCAAAATATTGATGTAATTATTACATCAATATTATAAAAATAAATATATCAGTAAAGAAAATCTATATTACATTTTATTCAATGTTAATTATTAACGAAATATTTTCAATCGATCTTCATTCATGATTCCTAAATCATAAAACATGTTAAAACATGTAGATAAAGCGCATAGCTTTCATGAATAAATAATAAATACTCATATCAGTAATTGTGATTGCATATGTAATGAACTAATGACAAATATTCCATATATTATATAAATAATAGTAAATTAATAAAAATATTTAAGATCTTAAATATGTATATATTGTATATTATATTTCACTGTAATAAAAAAAATCCATAGCTACTAACAGTTACTGCAAAATTGCATGTACCGACCGTATTTAACTTATTTAAGGAGTTGAATATATAGGAAAATATTCAGCTATATGCTATATGCCATTAACGGTTATGCAAGTATTATTATCATTTATTACATTATGCGTGTGAGACTTCCCCGTATTTTACCGTGATATGCATCCATACATACACATTACATAATTTATCAAACGAATAACATACTAATGCAGTAATGCACTTTCATTAAAATAGAACATCTGAACATATGAACATTCAACATATTTTATAATTGGAGATTAATAATCATAATGCATAATATACTTCATAACGTCATCAATTGTTTACAAGTCAAATAAACAATTGTTTTAGATAACAGAAAATCATATATCATATTATGCTTATATAATATATGCTTATCGAAAGTACAATCAATTTCAAATCTACAGAGAGATACTATCAAACATTTTATAAATGATAGAACAAGGAATTTAGTGTTAATAAGTCAAATAGTGTTGAAAAAATGACAATGCTAATTTTATTTAATGCGATTGATGTCTAACAAAACTCTAGAGCTTATTAACTATCTAAAATAAGTGCTTCGTGGTTGATTTTAGAGCTATTACATTTTAAACTATCATCAAGGAAAATTATGTTGCAATTAAAAAAGTAACAAACAAAGCGGTGCAAAACATTTGCGCCCATCACACCTTCTTTATAACCCACTTGGTGCCCGAAATATTTTTATTAAAAATGTGTTAAACCCGGGCGACGTTGCTAAACTGTATTCTGTAATATAACTACACTATCAATAAATAATATTATTTTTATTATTAACAATAAATAATATAGTTAAAACTATTGTACATATTATTTTTCCTATTTTTAATTTTTACGTTACACTCTTAAGGTCGTCACACACTGCAGCGGTGGCGGTAAAATTCTTTTGACTTAGCGATGCCGCCGCGTTGGCGGTAAAATTGTGTCCCGCTTCATTTTGCCGTAACCGTCACCGTCACCGCTACCGCTGAAGTGTGTGGTAACCTTTATCGATATAATTGATTTTTTTATTATATTATGACGTGTGAAAAAAACAACAGTATTAATTTTTATAATAATTGCATGTACTTAAACCATATATTGTATTTTATATCATTTTATGTGAGATTAATTATGACTACAGTAGTCAGTAAATCAAACTTAGTGTGAATTAATTAAGTGTTGTTTAACTTAGAATTTTAGATTCTGAGCGGATCGATGAATGTATTGATTTTACCATGATGTGTGTTTTTTTTTTGTGTCTGTCATMACGTTTTGGGGCAGTAAAAGTGCTTCGATTTTTGACTTCAGTACCTCGTTCGATCAGAAAGTGAATCTATATAGTTGGTACTTTGGGGGGTCAAAAGTGAAAAATTCTTAATACTTTTCTAAATAATTAAGAAAAACAAACTAAAAATTAAGGGAAAAACGGGAAATTTTATGCACACTAATTTTTCGACAAAATCGATTTTGGTTTTTGATGTAACTTTAAAACAAATGACTATATGGATACATGCAATTTTCACCGAATGTTTATATAAGTATATTCTATCCACCATGCAATTTTCAAAAATGTTCGACCTAAGTTCAACTATTAATAGGCATTTGAAATTTTCGATCATTATTTGTTTTTTTTAAAATTAATATCGATAAAAATTTATTTGTTCGGTAGAACAGCTTGAAAATTTAATACAAGGCTCTAACATATTGTAACAATAGCAGTTAAAAAGTATTAAAAATACATAGGCACGATTTTTTTTTTATAAGTATTAAAAGTTCAAATTTTAACTAAATACGTAAAAATTACGGCAATGTTCAAATTATCTTAGATAGAAATTCATAAAAGTTTTTCTTTTTAATTCTAAGATTTGAAAATTTAAT